CGCACCTTCAACTGCATAATAATTAGAATTATCAATATCAACTCGATCATAATTGTCAAAATAATCTGTTGTGTGATTATCTTCTCCGAAATAATAAAAATGTCTCAATACTGGATCATCTTCGGCCTAGATTAAAAATTTGATCAATAATAATAACAATATTATTATTATCATCTAATAAATAAATACTCTTCTAATAATAATATCAATGCCTTAAGATTCTTTAGAATCGGAGTCCATAGAGTATATTTTGGTATTGGTTTAACGTAAGGGATTGGGAATGGTTCAATATATTTTTTATATTCTTTCTTAGGATAACCAGCTTCAAATTCCTTGTTAATATAAATAAATAAATATAAATATCCCTAGGAATAATGATAAAAAATATATAAATACTTACTATGACACTTATTTTTGTGATTGAACGAGAATTATTTGCTTGAATTGCTTTTCCTCCTATAGGTTTTTTTTTACGGGTGGGCTTTATTTGTTGTGAAAGGATTCTTTCATTTTCTTCAATTGACTTTTTAATTCTTTTTCGGCTTTCTTTTAGATCGACCTTTGAAAAATTCAATAATAATAACAACAAAAGATATAAAGAACGCGATTTTGGGATTTTTTTTAAAATACTTTTTCTTATTATATTAATCAACTAACTATTGAATCCTCGGCTTTCTTGGTGTATACCTCTTCTCTGATTTTAAGGTATTTCTCTGCAAGTTCATTCTGTGAAGGTTCTATTTTTTTGGAATTATTTTTTCTAGACATGATAATGATAACGAAATTGCTGAATATTACAAATTTCTGACGGGCGAATTGACGAATTTTTATAAGCGGTAGGACAGTGGGGTATTCGATATAAGTTGATTAACAAATCTAATTATGCGGATTTTTTATGGTGCCCCCTTTTTTCTCTAAAAAAGGAAACGGTGTAACAAAATATTTCTTCGTTAGTTTTATTAGTATTATATAGTATTATGAACTTTCAATTGCTAAGGCTTCTGGAAAATCGTTACATTTATAAAATTATTAGAGGTTTTTGAACAGGATACATTTGTAGAACAGTGCTATGGAGAGAGAATCTTTATTTCATACAATTTTTTCGGAAGTTGCAATAGATAGAAGTATTACAATAAAGAAAGAAATTTTCTGTATTTCGAATGAGTTTTTTACACCACTGGTATTTTTAATCCATTAAATCTTTCCATAGCTCTAAAGTATAATGTATATACTGCCTTTCATGGAAATTTAATGCCTATATCTTTGAAAACGGAGGAGGAGTAGTGTTTTGAAAACAATGTTCTATACGTAAATTTTGGAAATTCTGTAAGTGATATGCAGATCACAAAAAAAAATCACATATAACCAATCAATATATGACATTA